AGCCCTGGAGATAGCACCTACCTAAGAAAGCAATTTTTACTGTATGCTTCATTTGGGGATTTGTCTAGGGATTCCCAGACCAGGGAGAAAATGTAAACTGGAAGCCCAAACCTGCTAGAGGTACAGTCCAAGGGCTTCAAATCCTTAGGAAACCTTCTCAGCCCACGCTTTCACTCGTGTGTACAGCCCTCTGATAGCTTCTAGCTTTATGTGTGTGGGTGGAGGGGCGAGGGGATGTCCAGTCTTTCCCTTAACCCACATACCTACTAAAACCTAAACCCTTCAGCCAGACGAGGTGGCTCATGCCCGTAATCCCAGCACTTCCGGAGGCTGAGGCGGAAGGATCGCTTGAGGCCTGGAGTTTGAGACCAGTCTGGGCAACAAAGCAAGACCCTGTCTCTATAAAAATTAGAAAACTGATCTGAGCATGGTGCACACGCCTGTAGTCCCGGCTACACGGGAGGATGAGACAGAAGGATTTCTTGAGCCGAGGAGTCAGAGGCTATGGTGAGCCGTGATTGATTGGTGCCACTGCCTTCCAGCCTGGGTGACAGTGTGAAACCCTGTCTTTAAAAAAAGAGAGAGAAATCTAAGCCCTTCAGTTAAAGATAGCAACTTTTTCAGGATGACCAAAGAATCAGTACATGTGTTGACCTCCTATTTTTATTTTTAAACTATTATTATTTATTTGTTTGTTTTTTGAGTTGGACTCTCCTCTGTTGCCCAGGCTGGAGTGCAGTGGCACACTCATGGCCACCACAGCCTCGACCTGCTGGGCTCAGGCGATCCTTCCACCTCAGCCTTCCAAGTAGCTGGAACTGCAGGCATGCGCCATCACGTCCAACTAATTTTTCTTAATTTATTGTAGAGATGAGGTCACACCAAGTTGCCCGTGGTGGTCTCGAACTCGTGGGCTCAGGCGGTCCTCTCACCTCGGCCTCCCAAAATGCTGGGCATTGCTCTGTCACCCAGGCAGAGTGCTGTAGTGTGACCACAGCTCACTGCAGCCTTGAACTCCTGGGCTCAAGGGATCCTTCTGCCTCAGTCTCCCAAGGACCTGGGCCTTCAGGTGTGGGCCACCAGGCCCAGATAAAATTTTTTATTTTTTGTAGAGACAAGGTTCCACTATGTTGCTCAGGTTGGTCGTGAACTGCTGGCTTCAAGCGATCCTCCCGGCTTGGCCTCCTGAAGTACGGGGATTACAGGTGTGAGCCACCATGCTCAGTCTTTCCATTTTTAGTTTCCTGTTGGTGACGTCACTTGAAGGTTGTCTTTTCTTCTTCGTAATCTCATGTCCTTAAATTGACTGCATGTATCCTGCACTTCCTGATATTTTCAGAAGGCAAAGATTTTTAAGTTGTCTTAGTCTTTGATATTGTGTTACCAAAGTTTCCTATCCCATTGCCAAGGTGATTTTTTTTTTTTGGATCAGAATCTCACTCTGTGGCCCAGGCTGGAGTGCAGTGGTACACTCACAGCCACCGCAGCCTCAGCCTGCTGAGACTTTTCTGCCTCAGCCGTCCATTTAGCTGGAACTACAGGCACACACTACCACACCCATCTAATTTTTTGATTTATTGTAGAGACGAAGTCTCACCATGTTGCCCAGGCTATTCTCAATCCCATGGGCTCAGGCAGTCCTCTCACCTCCACCTCCCAAAGTGCTGGGATGACAGGCACGAGCCACCATGCCCGGCTAATTTTTTGATTTATTGTAGAGACGAGATCTCGCCAAGTTGCCCATGTTGGTCTCGAACACCTGGACTCAGGCAGTCCTCTCACCTTGGCCTCCCAGAGTGCTGGGATGACAGGCGTGAGCCACTGTACTTGGCATAAGGTGATTTTTAAAATATCACAGCATATGATCATGCTTAACGGCCGCTTCCTGTTTCTCCGAAGATAAAACCCGGCCTTGTTCACCCAGCCTGCAAGGGCCTGGGCCACCTCCCACGCCAGCTCCTGTCATGCTGGATTCTTCCCTTCCTCCAGAGTTCTTGGCCTGGGCCTCTGCCCGCCCCCGCCCCCATTTTACCCTGGTTGGTGCCAGTTTGCCTTTCAGCACACGCCGATAAGTCAGCTCCTCTGGGAAGCTTCCCCTGAGTTCCTGCTTCCCAGATTCTGCCTTTCTTTGACATCTCATGGCACTCGACTGGTGGAAGTTCCAGAATGTCTCTACACACAGGCTAATCTAGGTTGGAGATTTTTGCAATGGGGGAGACACGGAAGGAGAGGCCTCAGGGGACCGGGGAAGTGACATTTGCTTAATAAGTATCACTGTAAGGCTAGGAGGGGTGGCTCATGCCTGTCATCCCAGCACTTTGGGAGGCCAAAGCGACAGGATTGCCTGAGTCCAGGGGTTTAAGACCAGCCAGGGCAACATAGCAGGACCTTGTCTCTACAGTGAATCAAAAAATTAGCCACTTGTATGTGGTCCCAGCTGCTTGGGAGGCTGAGATGGAAGGTTCACTCCAGCCTGGGCGACAGAGTGAGACTGACAGGAAGTAAGTGGGGGGGCGGGGGAGGGAAGAGAGACGTGCCCTGGGCGACAGAGTGAGACTCTGACTCAAATAAATAAATGAACAAATGAGTAAATGTTGGAGAGTGGGCCCTGGATGGGATTGCTAGGTGGGCTCACGTCCACCTGCGTGCTCTCACTCAGATGCTGGATCGCGGGTGTCTTGGAGGTCAGCGTCTGGCATCTTTCTTTTTTTGAGTCGGAGTCTGTCGCCCAGGCTGGAGTGCAGTGGCACACCCACGGCCATCCCAGCATCAACCTGCTGGGCTCCGGCGATCCTTCCGCCTCAGCCTTCCAAGGAGCCGGAACTACAGGCATGCACGACCACGCCCAGCTAATTTTTTTGATTTATCATAGAGACGAGGTCTCACCAAGTTGTCCAGGCTGGTCTCGAACCTGCAGGCTCCCAAAGTTTGGGGATGATGGGCTGAGCCACTGAGCCCAGCCTGCATCTGGCATCTCAATCGACGGTTCCATCCGCCTCCCGGGCTGTGCAATGTTTGTACCAGTAACATGAATATGAGAAAATGTTATCTTTATATAGTTTATAAATACATTCATAATTTATAAATGCAAAACCCAGAGGGAACTGGAATCCAAAAGGCTCCAAAGGTTAACACAAATAAGTACTGGGGAAGTTTCCTATAAAATTAAGCTCACATCGATTTTGCAGCCTAACAAGAGAAACGAAAGCTTTTGTTTTAAAAAAGTCCTGCAGAAAAGTGTTTGCTTACAAGGCCATGCACGGTGGCTCACGCCCGTAATCCCAGCACTTTGGGAGGCCAAGGTGAGAGGATGACTTGAGCCCAGAAGTTTGAGACCAGCCTGTGCAACATAGAGAGACCTCGTCTTTACCAAAAAAAAAAAAAAAAATCAAAAAATTAAGCAGGTGCGATGTTGTGTACCTGTAGTCCCTGCTGCTTGGGAGGCTGAGGTAGGAAGATCAGATCCCTTAAGCCCAGGAGATCCAGTCTGTGGTGAGCTGTGACCGTGCCACTGCACTCCAGCCCCTGTCTCTCCAAAAACGAAGAAAAGAATCCCGGAGCCGGCCTCCCAGGAGCTGGAGACCCCAGTAGAGAGTGCTCAGCCAGCATGGTGGTCGTGGAGACGTGGGCGGGATGGGGCCGAGGTCCACACCGGCTGCTCTGCATCTTCACGGGGCCCAGCTTCGAGGCCAGCCTCTCCACCCACAGAGAAGAGGGCGTCTGGTGACGGCGGCTCTGGGGCCACCTGGAGAAACATGCCACACATCCCCATGCATCCTGGACCCAATCCCGTGGGCCCGATCCCCCGGCCGTTTCACCTGGGGGATTGTCACTGTGGCCTCGATGGAGTCCCTCTCATGGTGGGTGACACAAGCCAGACCCACTGCATAGAGGACTCGTCAGGAAGGTTGCACTACGGGCTCGGTGGGCGGTGGGACTTCAGGCCGGTCGGGAGGGTCAGGAGGGGCTCTAGGTAACAGGTTGGGTTTTTTTTTAATTTTTGAGTTGGGGTCTTGCTCTGTTGCCCAGGCTGGAGTGCGGTGGCACGATCGTGGCTCATTGCTGCCTCGACCTCCTGGACTCAGGTGATCCTCCCCACCTCAGCCTCCCTAATAGCTGGGATTACAGGTGCATGCCCCCACACCTGGCTAATGTTTTGTAGCTGCTGGTCTCAAACTCCTGAGCTCAAGCAATCCTCCTACCTCAGCTTCCCAAATTGCTGGGATTATAGGTGCATGCCACCACACACCTGGCTAATTTTTTTTGTAGATGCAAGGTCTTGCTCTGTTGCCCAGGCTGGTCTCAAACTCCTGAGCTCAAGCAATCCTCCTACCTCAGCCTCCCAAATGGCTGGGCTTACGGTGCACACCACCACACCTGGCTAATTTTTTAATTTTTTTGTAGATACTAGGTCTTGCTCTGTTGCCCAGGCTGGTCTCAAACTCCTGGGCTTGAGCAATCCTCCTGTCTCAGCCTCCCAAACTGCTGGGATTATAGGCGTACACCACCACACCCAGCTAATTTTTGATTTTTTGGTGGAGACAGTTTTTACACTGGCTGTTACAAGTACGTGGCTGTCCTCTGAGTGGGAGTGTCAGGGCTGGTACTGCTGGTGGGCATATCTCGTTGCAAGCCCACAGGCCTGGTGCATTTGGGAGCCCTTGCCACAGTTCCAGGACCGCTGTGTCTTCCCAGCACTGTTGGGTTCTCAGTTCCCATCCATCAGCCTCCCTGACATCAACCTTCACAGCGTTGCCATCCAGTGCTGTCTCCTCTTTCTCCAGTCATGAAATAGTCATCCCTCATGACTTTTCAAAACAAGAAACAATTTGTAATCTCTCACCAATGAAGGACGGATTTTTGCAAAACTTCCCGCAAAGGCAGCAAAATGCTTCAGACCCGAGGCTTAAGGACACCGCCGAGGTTCACCAGCCAGAGCACACGGTCCCTGGGTCCTGCCCTCCTACCCCCACCACCAAAAGAGAAACACACCATCAGACTGGGAGTTTTTAAAATATAATTTAAAACTATTCTGTACCAGTACAATATATTAATTTTACAAATGTAAAATTTCATCAGCTGTTAAAGCATTTGCAAAAACCACACATTCTACTTCAGCTTTATTGCACAAGATCTATAAGAAAATATGAATTTTTTTTTAAATTAGAAAACATAAAAATGCTTTCAATATAGAAGAGACCATCTGATTTTAAAGACCATACTCTAGAAGAATGTCTACCCAGAAGATCCCAAACTTTCACAGGAAACCAAGCTGGACAGATGTTTCCGCGGGTCCGGGACAGGCAGTCCCAGACACTCCATCCCAACTGTGTCACCGTTCTTTATCGGCAAGCTGGACACCACTCAGGGCGGAGTCTCAGACTCAAAACCGCCGAGGCGTTCTCAGCACGCATTCTGGAGGTCTCTCGCGTGTCGCCCACACCCCTTCCAACCTGACGGCCTCTTACAGTTCTTTTTCCTTCAGTGTGGTTGAGCTCTGGCACCTGTTTCTGACGACTATTCATGATCGTTTTCGTGGACTGACGCGGATAGAAAACATCAAGTGAAATACACTTTTAAAACCTTGTCCTCTACAAAAATCAGTTTATAAATTTGCATCGTAAAAATTAGTGTCGGGGCCATCAAGGTGGCCTTCCTTTTTAAGGTTGCGTGTAGGTGGTTTCCCAGAGCTGGGGTTGCGGGTGTCCTACTTTTTGATGTAGTGTAGTCGGGAAATAAATCCGAGCACTAAACTGGAACCCCGAGACAGGTGGAGAGGCTGCGTGAGAGATCTTAGTGGGGCCTTTCCACCAAGGCAGGGGTGAAAATTGCTGATGGCAAACCCGGGTGGGATTTGAACTCACCTCAGACAACACACATAATCTGGAAATGCAAAAGGGAAAAATGGCCGTGTCTACATGATCACCGGGGCCGTGTGTATCATAGGGAAGAGGCAAATCCTTACTGATTAGAGCAAGGATTCACCGGGCTGAAACAGGAATGGACACACACTGTTCCCTATGAAAGCATGTGGATTCAATATCAAGTGTTCTCAAGCTTACGTCTTGGTGGCCTGGGGAGTGACCTTGTGGGACTTAAGGCCTGCATAGGCAAAGTCAAATGGGCCATTACACATTTGTGTACAGAAATCATGATTAAGATAGTGGTTATGCATGACAGGTTTGTCGCAGGTGGACAGAAAGATCAAAACCCCAGATGCTTATTTAAAAAAAAAAAAAAAAGTCTGCATTATTTAGCATTTCTTCCTTAGGAATTAAAGCAGTTGCTTTCTGGAACTGCGTTTTTCAGAACTGCTCAAAGCACCTCATCTGGATGAGTGTTTTAAAAAATATATATATATAAAAAGTCTACAATGAGACTCAAACATCACACATTTCGCCTCTTGGGCTTTGTTACCTTGTATCCCCTCCTTAAAGTCCTTCAGAAGACAATAAAAATAAACTCTCACATTCCATTAGGAAAAATGGAAACATTCAAGGTCTGAAAATGTTCCAGAAGCCGCCCCTCCCCCCAATTTTGCTCCGATGTGCAATTTCCTCACATACAGGTTTTAAGGAAACCCCTGGTCGCCTCTCACCGACCAGTCCACTAATGGCCATGCTGTAGAAAATGAACATGAATAGTAGTAAATTAGATTAAAATCTATCCCATAAAATAAAGATGTCCTACGACTTCCATTTAAATACATATCGGAAAAGCTAAGAGGAGATTTTTTTGTTTTTCCAAAGTGCTAATTATTACATGGTTCCATCTCTTCAATCCATTGTGTCCAATTCTTTGTAAAACTAAACCGCCTTGCCATGGGCCCACTGCTTGATGAGTTTTAAGGAGGGGGGGAAAGGATAAAAAAAAATCACTTGTCAATTAAGCCGGCTTCCTTAATTTTACTGAAGAAGAATTTCTCCAGGATATTGGCACATTTGTAGTATTCGCTCTCAGGGGGGTTGTACTCTTTGCAATTGGTAAAGACTCGCTGCAGGTCTGCCATGAATAATTTCTTAGACACGTAGTACCTATTCTTGAGGCGTTCGCTCATGGTTCTCAGATCTGCACAGGAAAAAGAAACATTAGCAATCTTCGACTCCTTTTAAGCACTAGCTGGCAACACTAAGGCCAGGAAAGAGCTATGGTGTCGGTGTGATTACCGTTTTGTTATCCCCGTGCCTTTGTTTAAGAAAAACCCTTACGGTCAAGGAAGACACTTCTTAAATCTTATGCTCATTCTTTTCTGGGTTCTTTAAAGTGTGAACATTACAGGGGCTGTCGTCAGAGGTCCCTGGTGCAATCCTCATTCAGAGGCTGCAGAGTAGATTAGCAACAAAGAGCCCAACGAACTGACTCAGGTGAGCTACTCATTCCAATGACTACAGCAGGTGGGACATTCAATTCCTTAAATCAAAACAGACAGGGTTTGTTTCAGCCTTTACCGTTGTGTTGGTGGTGTAGGACAGAACTCAAGTAGAGAAACCGATCATAAACCCACCTGCAAATACCCCGGGGGGCTTGCATGTAACGAATTTTGTGTCCATCAGTGAAGTAAGAACCACAAACTTTAATTAACCATGTGTTTTCTACAGCAAGTAAGCCTTAGAAGACTGTTGTAGAAAATACTCTCTTAATGCATCTACTGGGTTTTTACAAGTGAAAACAGTACTTCATCTAAACTGATAAAACCACAATCCTCAATCCTCAGTGTCAGGACCAAGTTGAAGAATTCCATGTAGATTAGAAGATGCTAACACATGTCTATTTATGGGTCCATGATTTTTTTAAGTCTGGTTCTAGTATTAAAAATTATAATTGTATTGGCTATGTATGGAAAAATAAGTCAAAATGGCAACAACAAAAAAAACCCACTTATGACTACCAATACCCCAGATTCCCACTATGCTATAAAATTTCCCAGAGGGAAAGAAACTTACAACCAAATACATTAGGATTATCATGTAATAAGCTAAACAAATTTATGTACAACATCCTAAAATGGGGAGAAATTCATTTGCGCCAGTATCCTAAATCTACCACAAAACATCAAAGAAGAATTGGAGGCTGGGCATGGTGGCTCACACCTGTAATCCCAGCACTTTGAGAGGCCAAGGTGGGAGGGTCACTTAAGCCCAGGAGTTTGAGACCAGCCTAGGCCACATAGCGAGACCTCATCTCCACACACACACACACAAAATCATCCAGGAGTAGTGGCATGTCCTCACAGTCCCAGCTACTTGAGAATCTGAGGCAGAAGGATCACCTGAGCCCAGGAAGTTGAGGCTGCCCTGAGCCTTGATTTTGCCACTGCACTCCAGCCTGGACAATAGATTGAGACCCCTACTCAAAAAAAGAAGAAGAAGAAGAAGAAATGGAAAGATCTGCTTCTGCCTGTCTCTTTTGACTAAAACCTATCTGGATCAGAGCATATATCATCACATCTGTAAGTTCAACTTTCAAAACTCTCTTTTCTAACTGAAATAATTTAGAGGGAAGGAAAAATCTAAAAGTGTTCCATACACAAATCCCTCACCGGAGGCATCACCCACATGTGACTGAACAGATCAAGAAGTTCTCTCTTTGAAGGAAGAGAGAACAACTAAACTGTGTCTAAGGAAAATTAGATGGACGCCCACCTCAACGCCTGCCACATCAGACATGCTGCCCGGCGTGTTTATGATGTTTTAGAAGGAAGCGACACGTAACCAAAAACAAGCAAAGTAAGAGGGGTAAGGATGACCCCTGAGCAAAGAAGTTTGTCCAAAAGCTTTTCAAACTTCTTTTTTTTTTTTGAGTCAGGATCTCACTTTGTCACCCAGGTTGGACTGCCATGGCACAATTACGTGGCTTGCCACAGCCTCAACCTCCTGGGCTCAGACGATCCTTCTGCCTCAGCCTCCTGAGTAGCTGAGACCACAAGTCTGTGCCACCACACCTAGCTATTTTTTTTTTATTATTTATTGTAGAGATGTCTCACCATGTGGCTCAGACTGGTCTCAAGCTCCTAGGCTCAGGCAATTCTCTCGCTTCCACCTCCCAAGCAGCTGGGATGACAGGTATAAAGCACCATGCCCAGCTAATTTTTTTTTTTTTTTTTTTTGTAGAGATGCCTCAAACTATTTTGTGTGGGGGGGGCGGGTAGGAAGAGATGGGGAAAGGCTGAAATGGAGCAGAAACAAAGCACAAATTATAGAGGCGTGTGGATTATTCTAAGTGTAACCAATTCTGAGTACATCCTTCCACTATTTTCTTTCCGTTTCAGGGCTATAGATCCCATGTTCCTTCCTCTAGCCTTCTCAGATTTTTTTCAATTGACTAAATGATGTCGGTTAGAAAGAGAATGACCAGAAGTGATGGTACCAAATAAGAAATCACCGTTAAGTTATTCTCTTTTCATCTGCCTTCTCCCCAGCATAGGAATCCTAGGTAACAGGAGATGCATTCGAGCCCTTCCACAGAAGAGGAAGGGAGTTTTGTAGAACAGGGAAAGAAGAGAAATGTCTTTAGAAAACCCCCAAAAAGCAATCGTGGAGAAACTTAAATATTGGCTGGTCAGTCTTGTCTTCAAACGTGCGACCCTCCAAGAGCAAGACACATTTTGCTCAGCATCCTGAAGAATCCCAAGAAGAAAAATCACTACTCTCCTAGAGAGCACCATTTACTGCTTTAATTGACTCTGTCTAGTATCATCTCAGCCCCTTCCTGCCCTTGTTCCCCGGGGCCAATGATCTTCTCAGAAGCCCTCAGCTCTGCATACAGGTGGTGCCAACTGGAGAGAGGCACACCCTTCTCAGGCTGGTCCAGGAGAAACACTTTCAGATAGCAGGCTGTGAGCCGGCTCGGACAGACGGGATCTCAAGAACCCACCAGTGCACGTGGACGGAGGCGGGAGAATAGGGGGGCACATGAACAGGTGGGCATGTGAAAAGGGGAGGATGCACGGGCAGGGGGCGTGTGGACAGGAGGGGGCACACAGACAGGGGCTGAGAGGGAATTATTCTCCCCAGACTCCTACAGCATCTCATGAGGGTTTCACAAGAGAAGCTGAGATGAGGTCAGGGTTGCAAAAATCAGTTAACCTGAGCTTGGAAGTAGACAGAGTTGAAAACATTTTTCAGCCCGACGGATTCCCAAATCACCCTTCCACGCAGAATTCTAGAGAGAGTCCACCCTCCCTGTGGTTTTCTCAAAATGGAAACATATAGTAGAAAGGCAGAGAGGAAAGGAAAAGAGAAGCATTCTGGACGTATGTTGACTTTAAGGAGGACAGGCTACGGAAATAATTAGTGCAACTATACAAAACAAGCCGGGCATGGCGGCTCATGCCTGTAATCCCAGCACTTTGGGAGGCTAAGGTGAGAGGACTGCTTGAGTCCTGCAGTTCAAAAACAAGACCGGCCTGGGCAACATAGCGAGACCCAGTCTGTACAAAAAAATAAAAATTAAAAAATTAGCCATGCGTGGTGGTGTGTGCCTGTAATCCCAGCTACCTGGGAAGCCGAGGCGGAAGGATTGCCTAAGCCCAGGAGATGGAGCCGTGACCATGCCACTGCACTCCAACCTGGGGCCACAGAGTGAGACCCCGACTAAAAACAACAAAATACAAACACACGAAAAACTACGTGAGCCATTGAGGCGAAAATGAATGTCACAGAAAACACTCGTAAATAGCTCTCGGTTATATCTTGCTTTTCACATTTTACTACTTCCCTGCTCTTAGCACCTAGAACAGATCACCAGTAGAAGAGAAACAGAAGACACTGGCGGTCTCCAAAAAAAAAAAAAAAAAACAACCACAGGCACCCGTTGTCTGTCATCCTCACTGGTCTAATGTGGAGATTCTCAAGTGACTCAACGAATCAGGCTTGTGGGCACAGCGCCAAACTCCACAGCCCTGCTTTCCTGAAGCTGTCCCACACCGTTTGTTTTGGGATGTGAAACAAAGCTTAAAACAAAGAGTATATGCAACTGACACTCACAGTGTCCATCAAGGACACGAAAAATCAAGAATTGCATTCAGTAGGTTTTCTCCCTCTGAAAGTACAGCCAACAGCTTCATCTGACTTCTTTCATATCAGCTGGAAACATTCTTAAAAGGAAGAGCTATTTATGACAAGTAGACTCGGTCAGGCACAGGCATGGTGGCTCACGCCTGTCATCCCAGCACTCTGGGAGGCCGAGGCGAGAGAATTGCCTGAGCCCAGGGGTTCAAGACCAGCCTGGGCAACTTGGCAAGATCTCATCTTTACAATTAAAAAAAAAAATGTAGCTGGGTGTGGTGGTGTGCCTGTACCTTCAGCTACTTGGAGGCTGAGGCGGAAGGATTGCCTGAGCCCAGCAGGTCGAGGCAGCCATGGCCGTGATCGTGCCACTGCACTCCGGCCTGGGCGACAGAGTGAGACTTCAACTCCAAAAAAGGAACAACTATTCATGACAAGTAGACTCAAAACATATGAAGAGGACAACCTGATCTTTTTCCATTTGCAACCAAACAGGCAGAATATTAGCAAGGTTCTATGTGAACGGCCAGTGTTCACGTCCAGTAGCGGGTGCATGTCCCCTGGACTTTCTGCGTCTAGTGTCACTGCACACGCGTGGGCTCTGTGGCCAGCTGCGGGATGACCCTACCAACGGCATCTCCACATGTCCTTTGTCTTCTGGGATCCCACCACCCATTAGACACGCCCTACCCACATCGGAGGAGCGCACAGATCCACCTCGGCCACCAAGTGTCCCCCACACCGCCATCCAGAGAGCTTTACATCTATACTTAGAAAAGGTTAACAGCATTACCCATGGGAAACCTTATAACTTCATAATATCCCGGAGCTTCTGTTCTCTTCACAGGTTCCATGAAAGGCCAAGCGCTTTGGTGGCTCTTGGGTAGAGAAAAAAGTAAGGCATCTAATGTGGAAATTCCATGTGGGAAATCATTTCAAAATCTTTGCAGGAGGCGAGTCAAGAGGGCGCCTACCTTCACCTGCTGCAGGATGCCCTTGAGCGTGCTGTAGAGCTGGTCGGGGTCTCTGGGGTCTTTACTTGAATGGGAAAGAAGAAACACAGAGCACTGGTCAGGGCTGGTCCCACGGGCCGGCTGACCGCCACCCCGCTCATTCCCACAAAAGCCTCAACGTGGGATCATTCCAGAAAGCCAAAACCCCCCCCGGCCCTCGGGCTGCAGCCGGCCGGCCCTTCCCCTCCACGCTGCTGGGAGGGGAGCACACCACTTCCCTCCCGCCCTCCGGGCGTCATACCTACCTCTTCTCTTTTCCGCTTGGTTTCCAGCCTGTCTCCCCTGTAGGCCAACAAAATGAAACACTGAGTGAGGACGGCTTCGGGTCAAGAGCACAGCACCGTTCCTACTTATCCAAAACACCATCAATGACAGCCGAACCTCCCTGGAGTGTCCTTCTGGGGAGAGACTGCCATGAACGACACACAGGTGGTCCCCGCCCCAGGAAGCTGACAGTACAAAACAGGTCCAAGGCGGACAACACTGCCTGTGTGTTGGCAATTTTAAGGCAGAGACTCCAAACTTTCGGAGCAGAGCATAAAACAAATATATATTTGTTTAATATTGGGAGGCTGAGGTGGGAGGATTGCTTGAGCCCAGAAGTTCAAGACCAGCCTGGGCAATATAGCGAGACCTCGACTCTACAAAGCAAGTATATTATTCTTCCAGCTAGTATGTCATTCTCTGAATGGTTGGGGAGAGCATAATATAAATATAAATATATATATATATACACATACATATATATATATTTATATACATACATATATAAATATATATATATTTATATATAAATATATATACATACATATATTTATATATAAATATATATACATACATATATATTTATATATAAATATATATACATACATATATATTTATATATATAAATATATATACATACATATATATTTATATATATATTTATATACATACATATATACATACATACACATATATACTTACATACATATATACATATATATTTATATACATACATATATATTTATATACATATATACACATGCATGTATATACATGCATGTATATATACACACATATATGTATATATACATACATACATATACATATATATATACATGACAAGTAGATATATATTTTTTATATATGACAAGTAGATTCGGCCAGGTGTGGTGGATCACATCTGTAATCCCAGCACTCTGGGAGATAGATACATATCTCCAACTAAAAAATTAGTCAGGCACGGCATGGTATGCCTGTAGTCCCAGCCACTCGGGGGGCTGAGGTGGAAGGACCGCCGGAGCCCAGGCAGTCGAGCTGCGATGAGCTGTGATTGTGCCACCGCGCTCCAGCCTGGGGGACAGAGTGAGACTCTGACTCAAAAATAAAAAATAAGGAAATAAATATATCCAGTACCACAGGCATGTGCATTTTTCAAACTACAAGTCAAATTCCTTAGGAATCACCATGCTGTCATTTGAGGTCACAACAAACTCTGTCCCGATGTCTCTTTTATCTGGTCAAGACCCTGCCTGTGAGGCGAGGAGGATTAGCACAGCAGATAGAAATATGGCCTGCAGTCTGAGAGAGCTGCACGGGACTGGCAGTCCTGCTCTCTCCTTGAAAGGCAACAGTTCATTTTTATTTTTATTTTTTTGAGTCAGAGTCTCACTCTGTCACCCAGACTGGAGTGCAGTAGCACACTCCCGGTCACCGCAGCCTCGATCTGCAGGGCTCAGGCAATCCTTCTGCCTCAGCCTTCCGAGTAGCTGGAACTACAGGTGCAAGCCACCACGCCCAGCTAATTTTTTGGTTTATTGTAGAGACCAGGTCTCACTATGTTGCCCAGGCTGGTCTTGTTCCCGCGGGCTCAGGCAATCCACTCACCTCAGCCTCCCAAAGTGCTGGGATTATAGGCATGAGCCACCGTGCCTGGCCGCCTCTCGGTTTTACTGATCTATGAAGCGGAACTCCAAAAATTAGGTAGGGTCATCCCCACAGAGATTAGTCGATGTAGATAAACAGCACAGACGAGCACCTGACCTATGTAGGCATGCAGTGGTAAGAGAGCTATTATGCCGTGGACAGAGATGAAACAGAAGAGGGATTTCTGGACTTAGTTGTAAAAGTGAGATCGACTGTCGGGCCCATGTCAGGAAGTAAAATATCGTGTCCAGATAATATCTTTTTTTTTTTTCTGGAGAATTTTAATTTGTTTGATTTTGTTTTGTTTGTTAAACAAACAAAGCAGGACATGGTGGCTCACGCCTGTCATCCCAGCACTTTGGGAGGCCGAGGCAGGAGGATTGCTTGAGCCCAGGAGTTCGAGACCTGCCAGGCCAATACAGTGAGATCTCATCTCTACAAAACAATAACCAATCACACACACACACAAAATGATCCAGGCATGGTGGTGTGAGCCTGTATACCTTGCTACTTGGGAGGCTAAGGCAGAAGGATCACCTGAGCCCAGGAGGTCGAGGCTACAGTGAGCTGTTATTGTCTCATGGCCCTCCAGCCTGGGCAACACAGTGAGACTCTGACCCAAAATAAATGAGTATATTATTCCTCCAGCTAGTATATTATTCTTCAGTGTACTAAAAGAATCTGGATTTGAACCAAATAAAATTGCCAAATGATTGTCAGTAGTTCTTGATTTCTCAAAACAACTATTTTGTTTGGCTTAACCCAGTACAATTCATTTCTAATACAGACAAGAGCCCTTAGAAAAACTATTTAAAATTTGAAACTTGAAACAAATCATATGATTTCCACCACACATGGCAAATGACATTTTTTAGAAGTTTGTGGAAACTCATTTGGTCAAGCACAGACCTCGCAGGTTGCAACCACAGCCATGGTCAGACACAGTGCCAATGGTGAGATGTTTGATCAGAACCGGGCGGCTTCTCATTCTAGCCGTTACTGGTTATATACCATGAACACTAAATGTCATAACCATTGTGAGACTTGGTTTCCCCGTTTTTAAAACAGGATTTCTCTGCTGTCAAGGTTGTGTATGGTGAGTATCTAGCACCGTACAAAAACTGGCTCTTAATAAATGGTGGATATTAACTGCTTCAACACGCTGGGCACGATGACTCACGCCTGTAATCCTAGCACTTTGGGAGACTGAGGAAGGAAGACGGCTTGAGCCCAGGAATTCAAGACCAGCCTGGGCAATGTAGTGAGACTTCACCTCTACAAAATAGCAAAAAAATTAGCTGGACATGGTAGTCCACGCCTATGGACTAGGTTGGGGAGGGAGGATCACTTGAGCCCAGGAGGTCGAGGCTGCGGTGAGCTGTGATCACACCGCTGCACTCCAGCCTGGGTGGCAGAGTGAGACCCTGGCTCAAAAAACAAAACAACAACAACAAAAACCAGCTAAAAGAAGGCAGCAGCTTAGCTCTCTCTGGTTTGTTTGTGTTGGGAGGTAGAGAAAAGAGATAAAAGGAAAGCATTTGCTCTTCTTAAAAGACCAAAGATAACATGCACAGAGGCAGGCAGGCAGTGAAGCTTTTTGAGTTCCTACGCTTTGGAAATATTTTCAAACACAACTCATGGCGCTTTGGAAATACTTTCAAACACAACTCATGGCGCTTTGGAAATACTTTCAAACACAACTCATGGTGCTTTGGAAATACTTTCAAACACAACTCATGGCGTTACTAAAAATGTTTGCTTTTACACTTGGTTTTCCTTTTTTCTTTTTTTTTTTGGTGGTAGTTGCTTTTAGTCGATATCTTACTCTGCTGCCAGCTTGGAGGGCAGTGTCACTATCACAGCTCACCACAGCCCCAACCTCCTTGGTTCAGGTGATTCTTCCACTTCAGCTTCCTGAGTAGCTGGAACTACAGGTGTGCGCCACCATGCCTGGCTATGTTTTTCATTTTTTTGTAGAGACGAGGTCTCACTATGTTGCCCAGGGCTGGTCTCGACCTCCCAGGCTCAAGCAATCCTCTCACCTCGGCCTTCCTAAGGGCTGGGATTATAGGCATGAGCCACCATGCCCGCCACATTTTTGCTTTTAAAAGAAGGTCCATACGTACTAATTCCAGGAATGCTTTCTATGGGAATCTGTCGAACTCCGTCCTTGAAACACGAAAGTCCAGGGTAGACTTTTCGAATCTGGGCCTGTTTCCTTTCGATCAGCTTTTTGATGATCTGTAAAGCACAGGAAGAGGTTGTGTTGAGCGACAGAAGTCCAAGGCTATGGTTCGAGTCCGCCCAACCAAGCAAAATGGTTCCCGAACAAAGTCAAGTCTTTTCGAAGGACAAACTGATGGACTTCACAGCAACTTGGATGGATTCAGAGTCTCTCACACTCAGCGATCTATCACAGAAATGAAGAACAAAGTGCCACATGTTCTCACTCATAAGCAGACCCTGAACACTGACCACAATACTATAAAAAAAGGGATTAGCAGTAGTGGGGTACTGCCAGGGGAGGGGAGGGGGACATTACATCAATATGGGTTACCTGATCCCAAACCTGGCAAAGTGGGGACCAAAGGATGGCCCAACTTTGCCTGTGTGATGACCGCTTATGTACCTAATCCTGAATTGTACCCCACATCTTTAAAATTAAAATAAGTAAATACAAAGTTAAGTCTTTTCCATGAAACAAGATGGCAGAAAAGGATGACAGCTACTGAGCAGGTAAGAAATAAAACCATTCAATGACACACCCGCCCTTGAGGGGCTGTCCCTGCCACCCAGAGAGGCCACTACTGAGGGAAGACACTGCCCCTGGGGTCCATGTGTTGTCCCTGGCCCAAGAGCTGATTATTTTACACTGCTGCTGTAAACAGCCTCTGCCAGAATTCCAGGACAGCAGCCCTGGGCAGTCGCCACTCCATCAAGCGACAGAAAACTTTCCAATCCTGCAACTAGGACTGGTTCCCTTCAGGTGGGAGGCGCCGGGGAACGGGCCCCAGAAAGTACCCCAAGCCTGGAGCCGTTCATGCCTGACTATTATTTAAGCTTTTCGAAGCTGGAGTGCTGGCCTTTTCTGGTAGCAACAAAAAAGCAACCCTATCATGGCAGGCTGCCTCGACGAGAAAAAGAAAAGAGAAAAATCAACTCTCAGGTGTTGTCTGTTAAAGCAACAAACCCTAACAGGGGATGCCAGGGCCCATTCGGGAATTTTGAGAGATGTTTTGTAAAATAATTCATTCTTTCTTTCTTTCTTTCTTTCTTTCTTTCTTTCTTTCTTTCTTTCTTTCTTTCTTTCTTTCTCTCTCTCTCTCTCTCTCTCTTTCTCTCTTTCTTTCTCTCTCTCTCTCTCTCTCTCTCTCTCTCTCTCTCTCTCTTTCTTTCTTTCTTTCCTCCTTTTTGAGTGGGAGTCTTTCTGTGCCACCCAGGCTGGAGTGCAGTAGCATGTTCACAGCCACTGCAGCCTTGACCTGCTGGGCTCAAGTGATCCTTCCGCCTCAGCCTTCCAAGTAGCTGGAGCCACAGGCACGCCACCATGCCTGGCTAATATTTTTGACTTATTAATATTATTAGTAATACTTTGACTTATTTTAGAGTTCTCACCAAGTTGCTCAGGCTGGTCTCAAACTTCTGGGCTCAAGCAGTCCTCTCACCTTGGCCTCCCAAAGTGTTGGGATCGCAGGCATGAGCCACCATGCCTGACCAGTTGTATAAAATAATTCTTAATATACTGAATGAAATAACTACTTCCAAGAGCTTCAGTGTGGTTAATTTCGTCACCCTGAAATTAGTCATATCATAACTGAATTTTGGAAAAGAAAAATGAAAATAATAGAAGTCACTAATTGAATTCACAAAGGAAAACAAAAATTCTAGTTCCTAACTGCTTGATTTCAAACAAATGGCTGGCATGTACTGCACACGAATATGTAATCTTACTACTTAAACACAGAACTTCATAAAATGAATGGGACTAGTAAATTTCCGGTAAATCTAGATGTTTGTCTAATAAAAACATAATACGAGCCACTCACGTAATTTAAAATTTCCTAGTAGCCACATTAAAAAAAGGTAAAAGGAAATAGGTGAGGCCAGGCTCGGTGGCCTGTCATCCCAGCACTTTTGGAGGCTGAGGCGAGTGGATTGCCTTAGCCTGCAGGTTTGAGACCTGCCCAGACAACTTGGTGAGACCTGTCTCTACAATAAATAAAAAATTAGCCAGGCGTGGTAGTGCACGGCTATAGTTCCGGTTCCTTGGAAGGCTGAGGCAGAAGGATAGCAGGAGCCCCAGCAGGTCGAGGCTGCGGTAGCCATGAGCATGCCACTGCACTCCAGCCTGGGTGACAGAGTGAGACTTGGACTCAAAAGAAAGAAAAAGAAAAAGAGACAGGTGAAATTGATTTCCATAGTATATTTCTTTCAACCCATTATATCTAAAATGTCATTGTTCCGTGTAATTAATAGGAAGGCACTGTAAGAAGTCTTACAACCATGTATTCACATGAAGTCCTTGGAGTCAGAGGATCTGACACTCACGGCGTGCCCTGATTTGGCCCGGTCGCATGTCAGGCGCCATCAGCCGGATGAGACTAGCGGCTGCCACCTGGGACAGGGTTGAGGGTGGCAGATGCTTCCCGTTTATTTAGAAGCCCAAGTCTTTTAAAACATGAACCCCAAGGGCCACCTCTTCAAGGGACACCTTCAGAAAATACATGGAGGACTGTGTTTCCCTTGGAAAAGCTTTCGCCTTTTGGCCAGGGGACTCTCACATGAAATAGCCTCACACCGTATGTAGCGTCTTCAAGACTGCATGGGCTCCTGGGAAGCGATGCTAATGGGAGCGGGGGACCTCCTAACCTCCCCGCACCTCCAAGGACCGCTCCGGAGAAAGACGACGTTTGGCCTGTGTTCCGGTGTCCGGCCTCCACCTCCCTAGAAAATGCTCCACTCAACCTCCCTCCCGCCATGACCTCAAAATCCACACCTTCCGAGTGAAAGTAAGTCCCCACCTTCCTCTCCTGACATCCGTGTCTCAGTCTGTGACCTATTGCTGTCAGTTTCACAGTCTCACCAAACAGAAAATGGGGGAGGGTCTTCTCCCTCTCCAATTTGTCCCGAGTCTTTGCATGTGTCTTTACAAAAAAGCTGCATTGATTCGAGTGGCTTTGCCTTGGCTACCACAAACCCAGTTCCCTGTGGTATCACATGTGGATCGAGGTTTCACAATCTGGCCCAGTGTGGTGGCTCACACCTGTAATCCCAGCACTTTGGGAGGCTGAGGCAGGAGGATCGCTTGAGCCCAGGAGTTCGAGACCAGCCTGGGCAACTTGTTGAGACCTCGTCTCTACAATAAATCAAAAGTTAGCCGGGCATGTTGGCAGATGCCCCTAGTCCCAGCTACTTGGAAAAGTGAGGCGGAAGGATCACCTGAGCCCAGCAGATCGAGGCTGCGGTGGCCGTGATTGTGCCCCTGCACTCCAGCCTGGGTGGCAGAGTAAGATTCCGACTCAAGAAAATAAAAATAAAAAAATAATGCTTGTAAAAGCTCATTTGAATCCTGTGGAAGAAGATACTATGGAAACCCAAATGCATTATTTTATTGTGGTGACTTCAGAGAGCCTTTTAGAAAACTAGCTAAGCCGGGCTCGGTGGCTCAGCCTGTAATCCCGCGCCTTTGGGAGGCTGA